CGAAGCGCTAGCTCAAGACGTGCTGAAAACAAATGCTCTCGCTGAAGACAGAGTTGAAGACGAAGTCTGGGAAATGTGTCATGAAAGCTTTGTAACGCTGTCCCCAGAGTCCTACGCGATGGTTTGCTCAACGGCGCCGTGATTGATATGGGTATCACGGTGATTGCAGAAAGCGATCATCGGGTTGCGTCGCATTTTCACCGCTGACTTCGGTTCTGGGATGGCCATCACCACCACGCCAATGGTTGTCTGAGGCTCCTTTTGTGATTGTACCCTTACATTTGGGTGCTAATCACTGGGGCGTCATTATTGTCGAGATCGCGTTCCCAGCAACACTAAGAGTACACTTTTACGAGCCACTGCATCAGCAGTGCTAGCTAAAAGAAGTAAGGGGTGCATGGGGATACCGACTGCTGCCGTATTTGAAGAATTGGCATAGCGAAAGTGGTGCGAAAGAGCCTTTTCCAAAAGAAGTGATCACGCAGTGGGTCAATGAACCTGCTCAGCCAGATCTATAAGCTGTGGAGTAATGATACCGGGCATTGTGTACGCTGACGTTCGCAATACACATCGGTTCGAGCGTCATCGCATTGCGGAGACATACACGAGCGTAGTGAGATTTAAACTAGCTTGGCTGCTGTTGTGCAGCACGAAGAGGGTCCCAGCAAGAGTACAGCTTGGCGCAGATGCTGAAGACGGACGCGAAAATTAGCAAAATGTTGACACCACCAAGATAAATTTAAGATGATCAATAAGCATCTTGTCAGTAAAACGTTTACTAATATTTACAGTAAAACACCCAGCGTAAAAGTACAGACGACCTGTTCACACCTGCTAGTTATTATGAGTCTGGATTCACATTAACTTTCGCGAGTTACTATGAAGTCTGTCTGATCTAAGACTCTCTCATCCTTACAGTAAGCTTGTCAGCAATCTCCGCTTTGCGTAAGAGCATCGCCTGATATCTGTCGTACACGTACTGCACATTGTCCAGCACTTGACATGCTGTGGATATTGACTGAAACCCCAATAAACAATTTAGGTCACATTATTAAATGTTACACGTCAAAAGAAAAGTGTCATTCAATTCTGTACATCATGGCGTGCTGCATCTGTGTTGGTCTGTAGAATAGATTACTTAATAATGCGTGATCATATCTAATTCTTATTAATATTCTCTCTGCTCCCACCACATGCCGTACCAGCATCTTCAAAGTTTGTTAGACAGATTAATCTACATGCGCCCGTAGCAGACGATAGCTCGTAGTATTAATAGTTTACTCTGTCGCATTAGCAACTAAACATCTTGCTGCCCACTCGTTTTGCCATTAGTGTCTATCACATGAACGACATCGTTGCACGCCCCAGCTTTAATGTGATAGTCCTAGCTACATTTGCGTCCACTCCACTGTTGCGTCGTTTTTATCGAGAGAGGCCTCTGTAAGGAGTTGGCCACCAATATCGCTTGCAGTAACTTGTTAGCTTATTCTGTGAGAGCACTGCTTCTCAATAGGACGGAAATTCTTCAAACTGCCCAATTGGGGACATGCTTCCAGTCTCTAAGCCTGCGTCGCACACTGTATTCCTCCTGCACGATACAGTATCACTAGAAGAAATAGTGAAGGTAATATATGGATATATGACAGATGTTCAATAGTAATATGAGAGCTCTATCCCAATATACGAGATACTATTCCCTTCTGCTCATAGCCCTTAAGCGCGGCTTAATGACCTTCTGCGTACGTGGTATGGAGTGCAAAGGTCAGATTGGACTGCACGTACGAGTGCACGTAGGGGAAAAATCTAAGGAGCTCGAGGCTACGGAGCTCGAGGTGTGATAAAAAATGCAGTACGATCAAATTATACAAATTACTGGTCTATTATAAAAAAAGGTGGATCATTTAACTATTTAGGTACTCACAAAGTATATTAGAAATTGTCATGATGTAAACTTGATTTTTGCAATTACTAATATATCTTTTTGTAGTATTTGTACGAATGACATAATAAATTTGATCTTTACATGAAATGCTATCTTTTTAACGCAAGATCGAAAATCGCGTAGAATAAATAAATTAAAACGTTACATTTTTCAAAAATAAATAGTCAATTATTTTGGAAAGTTTTTCGTATTGTAAATTTGTTTTATTCGCGGTTCAGTGCTCGCAGTCGCTGTTCGAGCTGGTAGAGGGTGATAAGTGATGTTGAAATACAGCCACCCGGGATCTGTAGCAGTAGCTTGTCCAGTACTTCGATGAGAGAGTCGCGTTTCAACGAAATGCTCCACTTACGACGCAAATAATACGTCCTATTTTGAATTTTGCGATGCTCCTTTTTCTCTTTTTGACGCTGTTTGATTGCGCCCTTGCTGCAATCACGTTTTTCTTTTTCGTGTCTTTTTTTCGATTAGACAGTTGAAAATACGTTTCGGCACTTGTTGCAGCGTCGCTTGGGTAAGGAAGGGCCCAGGCTGGCCTAAGCTCTTCCTCTTCTTCGTTGTCGCCTCCATTTTCTGGAATGAGAGAATGGCGAGGGCGGACTAACTGCATTGTTGAATTGTAATTTACAACGTAGCAATTGTAATTGTTCGATTGTCAATTCCAGATTGTCATTTGCATTACATGTATTATAATGTAGAGAGAGGCAGACGATTCCATTTGGTCCCTTAACGACTACTAGAGGTCTGTTTGATCCTAAGCCTGGCTAGCAACGCCGGTTCCAGGGCCTGGTCCGGTGGTTGTACAGGGCTCTTCTCCGTTGGAGACTTCTCTGTGGGTATTTTCTCCAGTTGTTGCAGGCATAGCAGGAGTCTTGTCCCACTTTCCAGCTTCTCTGACTGTCTTCTTTCTCGTTTTGCGATTGCTCGTAGCTGTTGCTGACTTGTCGACCAGAACTCCAGCACGCTGCTGTCTATGGTGACGTCTTCCTGCTGGAAGACGACCCGGTTCCGCTGTATCCAGAGGCTGGTCGCGCAAATGCTGCACATGACCCGCCACATTCTCTTCCACTCCTTCTCATACTGAAGTTCTTCGTCTGGATGGTCTCTGTCAAGGTTGGCTTTGACTACCTTCGATAATGCCGGCGCTTTCCTACTTGCACATGCTCGCTGGAAATGGCCCAGCTGTTGTAGCCTCCATTGCTCTCCAGTCCAGTGACAGACTAGCTTCTGCCAACATGCTTGAGCGCAAGGGCAGTCCCACAGGATGTGTTCTAGTGTCTCCTTTTGTCCGTGGCAGCGTTGTAGCTTGCGGCAGCTATTGTTTAACGACCTGCCGTCGTGATAGAGGTTGAGCTGTCGGAGTGCCACCCGATAGCTGATATAAACTTGATACGCCGTAAGCTCATTGTTGTGGGCCCAGAGTTGCTTGGGAGATTGCGCCATGGCCGCTGCTTGCCAGGTACTCGTCAGCGCCACTTGTTGCAACCGAGCCACTGGTGCGTCGAGCTTGATGTCTTCCCCTCGATACCGTTTGAAAGCCTGTTTCTTGACTGCAGTTAGAGCGTGCCGGTTCGCCGTTGAGTCCGGCACCTGCCATGGGAATCCATGCAGTGTCGGATGGGCTCGAAAAACGATAGTACCTGCTCGTTCCTGCCGTTGGAGTTGGTGGATGTCTTCCGTTGTGGTGACATCCGCCTGAGTCGAGGCACTGATGACTCAGTGAATCCCGTTCGGTTGCTGTTCTAGCTCGAACTGTGACTTCGGTGTATCAGTGGCCCGGATTGCTCGAATCCTGTGCCTGTTCAGTATGATCCACTTGTAGTCGTTCTGGAGTTCTGGGGGGTGCTGTATTGTTGCCTCTGTTCCGACCCGCAGTGTGGTGCCTACCTTCAGGGGCGTGATGCTGCAGAGGATGGCGATGCCCCACCGGCGTAGTTTCGGTTGGAGATGGCTTGTTGCTGCCGAGAATGGGATGGTCATCGTATACAAATGATCACTCCTTCTCTCAATGTGGAGATCCTCCAACGTACAGCTCTCAATTCGGTTGTATTTCCGCCTCGTCAACATTGCTCCTGTTTCATCTACGATGCTTGGGTTGTCGTTCCAAGTGTAGATAGGCCAGAATGCCTCCTCTTCTGGCATTCTCGAGCGCACTTTCTCTGGGAGAGACCTCTTAAGCTCCACATGCCATTTTCCACTCTCTGTCCAGCTCACTGCAGACGTTGCGACTTCTTTTAGCTCTTGGCGCCTCTGAGAAGTGGTGGTTTCTTCATCTAGCACGGGTGCCAGCCAGCTTCCAATGAGCTGTTGGAGCGTGTTTCCAGGCGTGGCCAGCTTGCTGCCTTGACTGTTTCTGCTGTCCTGCCGTGGGGAGACACCTCTCAACCAAGGCTGAGTAGCTCCTCTGAATGCCCACGCTCTCCATGCGGCGTAGTAGATATCATGACGTTGGACGAGCCACTGAATTGCGTGCTTCACCCGTTGCGTTTTGCAGGCTACCTCGATGGACGCTAGACCTACTCCTCCGGTTTGTTTCGGTGTGAATAGGAGTCCCGGATTAATTTTGTGCCGGCTTGATTCTGCACTGGTTGAGTGTTGCCAGAGGAACTGTTTTTAAAGATTTCGGAGCTGTGTGGCCGCCCAGGTTGGCATTTCAAATGCCGCCGCAGTGAACAAAATCGAAGGGAGCATGATGACATTGAGCAGGAGGACTCGGTTCTCCATACTATTCGAGATGTGGGCGGCAGTCGCCAATCGTTTTTGCACCGTACGTATCCGCGCTGCCCAATTCACTTCTGTTAGTGGCCCGGTGCCTACTTGGTATCCGAGGTACCGGACAGTTTCCCCGACGGGTAACACAGGGATCCATCCCGTGTATGCTTTCCATCTCGATTGCGGTATTGAGAAAGATGACTTTGCTTTTGGTCGGTTGTACTTGGAGCCCGGAAAGTTCTTCAAATCGCTGCACTATTTCCAGCACTCGCGGCAGTTGACGCGCCTCGCGAAAGAAGACTGTGGAGTCATCCACAAATGCTGAGAGCTTGTGTGCTTGCCCGGAGGTTCAGGGTACTTGAATTCCTTCTGTATGTTCGTCTTGCTGGATTGCTAACGCGAGTACTTCTGCTGCGAGAATAAACAGTAGGGGTACCAATGGGCATCCTTGACGAATGCTCGAGACGACATCTTGTGGGTCGGATAGCTCTCCATTTACAAGAAATCTAGCCGTTGTACCTTCGTGCAAGTTCCGTAGCATCTGCACAAACTCCGGCGAAAATCCAAACCGAATGAGTACGAGAAACAAAAATTCCCGTGCGACCGTGTCGTAGGCTTTCCTAAAATCCAACAGGAGAATTACTCGACTCAGAGCTGCGGCGAGCTCGGATTCGGCTTTTGCTGTGGCAAGTATTGCGAGCATCACCATGACCGTTTTCATCATTTGACGGCCATGGACAAATCCTTGCTGCGATGACCCGATCGGTTTTCCTAGGACGCGTCGAGCCCGGGTTGCCATGACTTTGGTTACAATTTTGTACCCAGTCTGAAGCAGCGAGATTGGCCTGAAATCCATGGCGTCGTCCGAATCTCCTTTCTTCTTTAGAGGAATGATCAGTGTCTCGAGGAAGGATTGTGGCGGTTCTCCTCCTTTGAGTAATTCATTGCTGATTGCCGTAAGAGCTGGGACAAAGATGGACTGCGTGTCCTTGAGGAAATCGTTGTTAAGCCCATCGGGGCCGGCCGCTTTATGCCTGTTGAGAGCCGCTATCGCATCTCGAACTTCTTGTTCTGCCACCGGTTCCCTCAGGATATTATTATCAGTGTGCGACAGCTTTCTGTTCTCCGGGATCGTCACAAATTTGTCGAATTCACGTTCAAGGTTAGCGTCCGGTACAGTACTATGAATTTTGCCCAGTATCGGGGTCCATTCGCTTGAGAACTTGGTCGCTAGAGACATCTCGCGCTCAAAGCCGGCGCCATGAATGTGCCGGATGCTGGCTATGGTTTGATCACGCTCCCAGTTAGACGCTCGCTTGAAATCCCAGCGCAGACGGTCCGCCGTTCTTTCTAGTCGTTGGCCTAGACGGAGGAGATGTTCTGCTCTCCTCTCCTCCATCGTGACGTCGAGTGGCGCTTTCCTCGTTAACAGGTGCACACGGCTTTGGGCGTTCAGTTTGTGCTTGAACGTTTTCCTGCGCTTCTTTTCTTGCTTGGTGAGTCGGCTAATGCAGAGTCCGCACTTTTGTACCGTGCTGTCCCAGGTGTGAGTCGTCTCCTGTCGGCCGATACCTTCTTCCACTAAGGCGTCAAGTAGCTCCTCCTGTACTCTAGTCTGTTGGGAAGTCCGTATTGGATATACGAGGCCCCTTCTCTTGACTTTAGCGACCTGGTGAGGCTGCGCTCCTGCCAAATGTAATATCACACGCTGATGGTAGGATGGGGTGGTGGGTTCAAGGACCGAGAGCCATTGCACCTTGGACGTCGATGAGTTTGATACGCAAAGCCGGTCAATTCGACTCGCCACTTCTGGACCCCAGTTGGTAAAGTACTCCGTATTTTCCAATTTGTCCGCTCCATCATCCAGTTGCCCTGCCAATATGCATGCATATTCTAATTGTAGCTGACCGAGAAGAGCTGGTAACGCTGCACTCTCGGCTCGGCCCGTCCGATGTCCTCCCAGTCTGTCGAGAACCGGACTGAGAACGCAGTTGAAGTCCCCTGCCAAAATGGTCTCTTTGTCCTCCCATGGCCACGCTTGTAGAGTAGTGAAGAACTGCTCGCGGTCCTGGTGACCATTCGGGGCGTATACGTTGACCAGAGCTCGGTCTCTCAGCTTGATAGCTATGACGCGTCGAGTCCATTGATCTGGAAGCCAAGGTGAAACTTGATCCACTACACTGGGGTGAAGAAGAATTGCAACTCCCCCAGTTTTAGTGTCATCAATACTCCAACATGATAACTGCTTGCCGTCTGGATGGTGCTGCAAACCCCACAATCGTTTCCACTCAGCTTGCAATCTTTCAACTTCTGCTTGGGTGCTCACGTGTGTTTCCTGAATCATCCAAGCGAGGGGAATTTCCTTACGGGGAGTTCGCCTCCACGCTTCCAACCAACGCATTCTGTTTTCAGCTACGAATCCGCGGACATTCTGGGTCTCCAGCTTCCACTGGTTGCTGTATCCGGCCCGGCGCCGTCGTTTTCGTTCAATTTTTTCTTGGTCTTGCATATGCATATGACGCCCGTAGACGTCGCCTGTAGCTCCATTTTCCATACGCTTTGGAGCTTCGGCAGGTAGCTCGTGGCTACCTATTATGATCTTGATCCCACTCCCCTCCGCCGCGTTCAACCGCGTCAGAGAAGAAGCGTGCTACTATTCCCCAATCAACATTTCTGCGCGATGCTGAATAAGCCTCCCGGTAGTGAGCGCTCACTTCCAGCGCACGGAGGTGCCGCTGCAGCCTGGAGACGGTGCCGTTGTCCGGTTCCTCCTCCGTTCCAGTCAACACTCGCATCGCCTTTTCGTATATTATGTCACAGAGCAAATGTTGAGCGAGACGACCCTTGGTTCCGACATCACAAAGCTTGAGAATATCATCATTGCCATATCTTTTGCTCCGTAGACGAGTCCAGTCTTCCCGGTTGTCAATGAGGGGAGCTAGATTTTGCGGAGGGGGCCTGTCAATTTTGCGATCCACTCATCAATCCAATTTCTGACAGATCTGTCTGTGGTTCGGCTTCGGTAGGCGACCAGTCGGTCGTGAAGACACTCTTGTCGCCATGCTGCCGTCCAAACCTCGAGCACTTTGTCCCCCAAAGAACTCAACACCTCCTCTGGAAATTCAAAAAGTTGACATATGAGCACGAGTTGAGCAGGCTCCTGCTGCGCAGTGTAGCTCCACTCTTCCGGCGTGCTCGTGTAGGGAGAAAACGGAGCGGTCGCCGTTGACGGCCACACTCCGGCTAAGTTGTTCCATCGTTCTGCCCGATTGATGTCCGCACTATTCGCGTCACCTCCGGAGACTCGGGGCATGGGCTCGTCCTCCATCGGCTGAGTCGCATCCCTCAGGTGTGGGTGCGCTACCTTGGACTTCATAAGCGATCGGGTACGCTCCGCTTCTATTGGCGTGAGAGTATGGGGACGCTTCGCCGTTCTTTTGCCTGTCTCCTTGACCTTCCCGGGGTTACGTCGTGCTGGCGGCTGCTCTTGCGACGAGTTGGCGCTGGACGGGAGATAGGATGAGTCCGATTTATTGCTTTGTCTGGACTCCTGAGAGCTTTGCAGCTCCCGCTCGTCTTGCTGAGCTTGAGCACATTCCTGCTGCCATTGCCGGAGAGTCGTCAGGGGAATCTGGTATTTTTGGAGAAGGGCTGTGATGTCGGCCGATCTTTCTGTAGCCAAGTCCGTTCTTCTGAGTCGCTCTCGTTCAGGAAGAGACACATGAGACGCTGTGTTCACTAGAAACGCGAGCAGTTCAGCATATCGTGTCGGGTCAGCATGTTCTAGTATGAGATGAATCTCACACTTAAGATCATGTGAGATGGTCATGCCGGTGAGCTTACGACGAAGTTCCACTACATTGCCGTCCCATCCCGACAGGCTCCAAGCGTTCTGGGAGGAGTCACCCTCTTGTTGCGATGATGGTGGACATTCTGGCTCCTGGTCTTCGCGAGACCGTGAGCGGTCTTCAGCATTACCCGGGCTTGGTCGCGTACTTACGGGTTCTCTCTTGTGAATGAACGCCGAGTAGTGTTCGCCCCAGTGCCGGATGACGAGAGGTGGAGTTGTATCTCCTATCTTCGCCGCTCGAATAAGGGCGGTGCATCGTCCCACTTGCAGAGGAATGTGCTGCCCAATTTCGTATGTCTGGGTCCCTCGCTTTGTCGTACTCGGTTTAAACATTGAACAGTACCACTGCTTCTTGTGGTCTGTATCGTACGCGAGGACGTAGATTTCTCGTTGGAGGAAGTTGGCTGCCATCGTCATAAGTTCACTGCACCCCCAGTTATATTGAGGTACGATAGATTCTCGGCTGAACGGGGAGCGCGCGTACTCCTCCAGATAATACTTGAACTGCTTCGTCGATTCATGAGATGGCATCCCATTCCATCCACGCAGTACATTCACTAGCGTTGAGGTCCGGACGTAATGGTCGAATTGCTCTTGGAGGTTTTGTTGGCCAGTCCAGCAAATCCCTTGTTTCAGACTCTTAGTGATTGCTTTTAAGCTGTCATCTTGAGACGCCAGATCCGTGTCGACTAGGGCTTGAGCGAGCGCCATCGCCACGCAGTTTCCTGTCGCTGGAGTGTTCACTTTGCGTAGTAGCATAAACTGGCTTCAATTGCCGAGAAAGACTCTAGTACTTCACCCGAGTATGCTGCTGGTGGCATTCGTTTCCCGAGCGGCTGCTGAGCTGCCTTCACTGCGTGACGCAACACCTTTCGCTCCCTTGACTTCAGCGCAACTAGTTGTGGCGTCGAAGGTACTTTGGGAGGCTTTGCTTTCTCGAGATGGACCTTGGCCCTGTCGGCCTCGGTTAACTGGACTGGGGCCTTTTCTTCGAGCTCGTCATCTGACTGGATTTCAATCGGCGCTGACGATGGAGAAGCTGGGCCAGGTAGCTCTGGTGCTGTATCGTCGTCGTCTTCATCATCTCCAGCGAGCACGTCATAACGAGAGCGATCCACTTGCGGTTTTTGCTGGAGAGTTGCCGCATGGGCATATAACTTCCTGCCATTTCGCAATGGCATCGTTACCCATTTCGTTTTGGGGACCGGCGGCACGTGCTCCTCCGTCGAATGGCTGACTGACTGGGCTGGGCCGGTTTGTCCGTCGATTCCAGCCTCCGGTTGAGTTATAGTGGTGACTGGATGAGTGGCTGGTAGGGAAGGTGACAAGGCTGCTTGAGCCACTTTCTGCTCCTCCTTCTGGATCTCAAGACGCTTGGTCGCGAATTCTTTCACCTCGTCCAGGCTGGTAAATGGTTTGGTCCTGTCTACCAGCAATTTTACTTCGGGTGCGAGAGCCACGCGGCTACCAGGTACCTGGAGCTGACTGTCCGTATATCTACATCGCACCATTGTGTGGCCTAGATTTCCGCATTGGAGACATTGCAGCCTTTGTCGGGCGCTGGGATGCTGAAGCACGATCGTCCTGCCGTACCACACAATGCGTACTATACCTCGGAGGAAGTCTGGGCATTCCGCTGTATGAAGAGATAGCCGCCAGACTGTCGCCGTCCGGGATTCTGAGCGGCAAGTGTCCATGGGATCTAGATCGAATTTGGTCGAGATGTGCTGCGGCAAGTACTCCGCTAGTAAACCCAGGTCCGTAAATCGCGTGATGTTGTAGATATCAACTTCATACTTGCGCTTCTGCGTGAGTCGAGCTCCGTCTCGTCCAAGCTGGCGGTCCCAAATAGAACCAGAGTCTGGCTGGTGCACGTTGGCCAGTCGATACACTACCCTGCGGAAGGGGACTTGGACCTGCTCGAATTGTCTTGCTGTCGCCCGGTCAAAGAAGAAGAAGTGCACACTTCTCTGAGCGTGGTTGTAGCTAATTGTTTTGATCAAGTTCAACATTTTACGAAGATCTGGCGTGTTGGCTCGTAGTTCCTCAGCTGCGATACGGATGTCTTCCTGGATCGTCTGAGTTTGCTGGCGACTGTGCCGTATGGTCGTTCTTCCGCGGAGTTGGATCTGCAGCTCTCCTTCCACCTGACTCTGTATGGTTCGGTGGGGCCTAAGTCGTTCTTGGGAGTCGAAAACACTCTTCAGAAAGTCGGTCATCCGCCGACACACGATTGTTCCTTCTGCCAAACCTCCAATGATCTTCCATTCGTCCTTAGTGGCGAGTCGTAGCAAACTGCCTGCTGTCGCTGCAGCTGGCTGCTCGCAGATCCGTCTCAGTGCTGCAATATCCGCCTTAGAGTAGACTGACTGGTTGAACATGAAGTCCTGGTAGTACGCTACTTCTTCTGTAGGCCCTTCCTCCGCGCGAGTCGAACGTCTCCCGGCCTTCACCTTCGCTGCCCATTGATTCAGAGGTTTCGTCTTCGCCCATTTGACCTTACTGATCATCCGATGCATGATTGTCTTGAAGGACCAGGACGTGTTGTACAAGTCCTGAGTTGCAGCTTGCGCGTAGCGCTCCCATTCTTCGAACGTGCCGTTCCCGAAGACGCATAGCTCCTTAAACGGCTTGCACAGGAGCATTTTTTCGTTACTTTCAATTTGGGGTAGCGCTGCTTGCCACTAGGGATCAAGTTCGTGTCTACAGACACCTTAGCATGCGCTATACTAAACAGCTCTTCGATTGTTGCTGTCCACGAGTTCCGGGGCTGCTCTTGCGGGAAGCATTGCATCTCGACGACGACGGCCTCGAACATCTCGAAGGGTTGTACTGCCGGTGTTGGCGAGCTAGAGTCTTGGATTGGCGTCTCGACATTTCCAGACGAGGGAACTGCCTTCGTGGGTTGCTGAGTGACGTCACCCGCGTCTGGGTGGATTCCGGCCGACTTGCTCTCCCCCGCGTCTGCTGAATCCACCCTCGGGCTGTCGCCGAATGCAGATCTAAATTTCTCAGGATCCGGTTCCTGCATGTCGTTATCCGATTCAGCTGACAAGTGCTGGGTTTCGTCCACGATGGAGTCTTGGCTCGGGGCTTCTGCCTCGCTCCTCTGCTCCGATAGCGCCGTCATCTCACTTTGAGTCTCCTGATCCTGGCCGAGCACAGGTGTCTTGGGGTCCGGCGGCTTCGCCTTGCCCGGATCCTTCAGAGCACTCATGGTGCTCAAAGGTCGGGTTTGGTGGGTCGCTATAGTCAATTCAAGTAGTTTCTGAACCGACGCTTTGTACTCAAAATCTTTCGAACGCCGACTGCTGGTACGGGGCGGCCGGGGCTTTGCTGGGTGCGCTGCTGATTCGAAAGTGACATGTATTATAATGTATTTATTATTTGTTTTGAAAAGCAACGAGACCAATTGACCTTTTTTTTTTTCGAGCTCCGTAGCCTCGAGCTCCTTAGATTTTCCCCACGTAGCGTGAACAATAAATTACCAAAAAAGAGGCAATATAGGTGAAGTTCTCTAAATTTTATCCAGAAGTAATTTCTTCTTCTCATTATTGGCGCCGAAGCCACTTTAGGCTGCACCAAGGCCATCGTGTTGTAACGCCATTCGTGTGAATCACAGGTACAATAGAGGCTGCACACTCATTAAGTCATCTGCAGCGACGAAATATCTAGGTATCGTGCTTACATGTAAGCACATGTAACAAGGTATTAAAAACAGATCCTCTCTATTTGTCTTCTTTACAAATGCCAGTGACGAAGCACCTCCATAAGTGCAGCGGTGAAACGAGCATTGTCCGCTACAGCCTTCTTCCAGGCTCGATATCTACATTGTATATAACGCGCAGCGATGTGTTCTACTGGAGGTCGACAAGCGAAGTAGCGAGTGACTGTGAACTCTACGAGACTGGGGGTGGCAACTTCATCAGACCAAGCGCTTGGATTCGCACGACCGACGCGATTCTCCGGAGACACTCGAAAGCGGTACAGGCGATGTGGTTTGAGGAACGTCACGTTGAGCTCAAGTCCGTGAGATACCGTGATGTCGCCTCCGTTCTCCATTTTCGCTTCGTTTCGGTTCGATCGCACACTGTATTCGACGTGAAACCCGTGCAAAGCTGAGCCCCCGTCATTAGCTGGTAGTTTCCATGCTATAATGGCACTCGTGGGTGTCACTTCTGAAACTGTGGGGGCTTCCGGTAGAGCATCAGGGACGGTGGGGGTATTAGTCTGTACTGGAACACTAGCGTCACTAACACCGCTATGACCCAAGCTGTTGAAGGCACTAACTGTGGCGCTATAGAATGTTCCCCCTCGTAGATGACGCAGAATGAATGTTACAATTGGTGAACCTGCGATACGTTGGTGTAGATCGTTGGGTTTCAGGGAAACCTCACGGTATAATTTGCGAACGCGGACGCCGAACTGCGTGTCTTCCGAGTAAATAGTAACGGTGTAGCCATCAATCGGAAGACCATTGTGTTTGGGTGGTGTCCAAGCGAGCATCAACGTGTGAGCTGAGGGCTCTAAAAGTTCTGGGGCTACGGGCGCATTCGGAACGTCGCACAGAGTCGTCATACTATCGCTGGGTACAGATTCAGGGGATGTCAGTAGTTTGTTGTCCACCAGATTGGAAGCAGAGATCCACACTTGAACGGGGTGTCCTGGTTCTAAGCCAGTCACTGTGTACTTCGTTGTGGCAATGGATCGTGTGAGAAGAACAATCGACTGTTCGTTGATAAAAGGGACTTCTTCGATCTCCTGACTCCACCGCAGAGTGTATTGCAACACCTCACTACCATTGCAACGTGGTTTAGTCCACTGGACATCGATTTGCCGCTTATCAACGCTCCCAACCACAGGCTTTTCAGGCTGATCAGGAGCCGTGCAGTCCATTTTAACGTAGTCACTCACGCGTGAAAACTGTCCAAGACCACAGCGATTCGAGGCTGCCACTACGAATTGGTACACCTCACCAGCCCAGAGCTCGTCCAATGTGCACGAGAGTGTGGTGATCGAAGGCAATGGCGAAGCTAGCACAGGCGTCTTCGAGGTCAACACTTTTTGGGGGACGGGGGTTGACGAACGAGTTGCTTTCGTTGTACCGGTATTGTCTGTCCTCCGGGTCTTGTCACCTCGTTTGACCTTCGCTGTTGACCTGGTTTGTGTCGTTTTCGGGGCTATTGTGGAGCACCAATATCCGGTAAGAACCGGTTCGTGAGATGCTTTAAGATCCTCCACAGGAATCGTAATTTCACGCAGTGGAACAAAAGCGTTGTTCTCCGGTTGACAGTGAATAGTATATGACACAATGGCAGCACCATTCGGACAGGGAGATGTCCAGGAGAGAGTGATGCGAGTGGCCTCGCGGTTGTCATGCTGCACTGCGCGCTCGATTCGAGATGGAATGAACGCAAGCGTTTCTATCGGCTTGGTTGCAATACTAAACTCGCTGATCCCAATCTACACCACAGTGTTGTTAAAGGGGGCGACTTTTGTATACACGATATGAACTTACCTGGTTTACGGCTGCCACTTGAAGTGTATAGTGGACACCTGGCTGGAGGTTCTCAATTGTTTTTGATAAATATTGTGCTGGCACCTCCGTATCAGGAATACTCACAAACTCGCGATCGTCACCACTATACGAACTCACATGTGTCGTGCGCACAATGTAACGAAGAATCTTGGCTCCGTTTGCTAACGGTTCAGTCCACGATATAGTGATCGAGAATCTATCCACCGAAACCACGACGGGGACCTCTGGCTGATCCGGAAATGAGGGCCGCACTCGCCACATCATCGCCGTTGTGTCTTCACTGGAAGAAACGAGAAATACACCGCTGGGATCGAAAGCAACAGATCGGATGGTGTCGTTGTGTCCTGAAAGCGTGAACACGCACTCTGCTGGCTTGGGTTCATGTCTTCGCCATACTTTGATCAAGTTGTCTGATCCACCAGTTGCCAGTAGCATTTCAAAGAGGTTTAAGTCACAGGTGGTTGGTGACGTGAGTGCACAGCACGTAATCGGAGCGTCGTGTGCATCAAAAACGGTTTCCAGGACGACACCTTGATCCAGTGACCAGTACCGAATTGACTTGTCTAGCGCCACCGTCACAACCAAATCAAGTTCTTGTGCCAATGCACAACCAGTAATCATCGACGAATGAGATGAAAACACGCCATCCTGTCAAATATTCGTGACACCATTCAGAAAATATTGTCGTAAAAAAAAGTAAACCCAGCTTTACCTTGGTCTTTGATGAAAACGTACGAAGTAGTCGCCCACTTGCATCAGGACAAGATTGGCTTCGAGTAACAGATTTAGTAGAAATAGCCGCATTATCCTCATCCAAAAATGACAAAGCAGGTGTGAACAACTTTTCAAAGTCGAAGTCCTTCATGCTTCGGAACTGGGTTCTCAGCCGAGCACTCTCCTCTGCTGTTAATGTGAGTTCATCATTCGCATCGTTGTTGCCACTTCTGTTGCCTTCTTGTCCTTTTTCGCGAGTTTTTAGGATTTTCTCGAATTCATCATCATTGGGGTCAATTTCTTCAATTAGATGCTCGAGACACTGCTTAACGTCGACCACTTCATTCCGCTCTTCTTCGCTTTGCGCAGGGGCTACTAGCGTCTGTTCTCGCCCATTGTCGCCAAGATGAAGCCATTCGTGATTGGCAATGAGCGACGTCATTGATTCGTCAAAGGCGAAGAGATTAACTGTCGACTCAATGGAGAACGAGAACGGGATGGCTTGCTCCCACTCCTGCAACTGATTGTCAAGAGATGTTGTTGTGCCGTCCTGGTTATTGTTAACCTGGTTATTCGCAGACAAGTTCGAGATATCCCACACCTCCACGATACATTCGCCACAAGTAACCAAATTCTGATCGTCCACTGTGAAGGCAAGAGACGAGACGCCTTCCTCATGAACAGGTAATATAATTAAGAGCGTCAAACGAACCATTTCTGCACTCTTTACCGGACATACTTTCCAAAGCATGCACGTTGAATCCCATGAAGATGTGGCAAGGAGCTGTCCGTCATGAGTGAGTCTCATTGAAGAGATGTCTTGCTGATGGCCCCTGCAGTAGTTGCTTGCCACGTCAAAATCTCTAGACTGTTGTGCCAGTGGAACGGTGGCATTTTCATCATAGTCGAAGAAGTGAACGATAGGTTCGTTGTCTGAGTCATAGCGATTGTCAATTGTTTGTTAGCAAAAATATGCCAAAACGCTTTCTTACGGGTAGCAAATGCAACAACAATCCTGGAAAACTCCGAATTGAAAACCTGAGCTGCTCCGCCACAGATTGAGCGACCATGATACGAAGACACGTCCAACCGGTCGAGTAGTTTTCCGCTATTCATGTTCCAGATTGAGATACTAGTCAAAAGATACCGCATTAGAAATCTAAAATAAACCATTTTTAAAAATAAAACAAGATACCCACCAGTCCAAACCAAACGTGAACAATATTTCTAAATTCATTTCTTGTTGGACACGAACAATCGCGACGTCCATGATGCTACACCGATGGGTCTCAAATACACGTGTCTTCATTCCAGACGTTAGTCGTGGTCGTCGACAATCCACATATCTGCCGTTGATGAAGCAAAACCCTGTTCGAAACATTACGGAGGTAAGTAGGGATGATAATTACAATATTGGTGCAACTTTCCATCTTCTCGAAGAGCATCATCCTCCAACTTCTGTTGCAAGGCATCAAGCATAAGCCGAGCGTTTGCCCGATCCTGTGCATTGCGACCGTCGCCGTGGACAGCAAATAATTTGTTTTGTTGCTCATCCACTCGCTTCCTCCGCGATGCCTTCCCCATGGTGTCCCCTCAAGAGCCGAGGGTCGCAAATAGAAGTGGCGGTTGATGAAGGTAGCTAAGAGACGCATTTAAACACTTGGTCTCGCATACGTATTAAAAATCCCACGATATTCATGTAGTCGAGAGTCTTTCATTATGCACAACTAGTATTCAATCTGAAGACAATTTTTGTCAAAGTTACCAAAAGGCGTACTAACGGCCCGTGTGGTCTATTTGGAGAGTCCCAAAGCCGTCCCAGTGGGTCGCTGGATTTGCCAACAAACTCAAGCAGGAATCGGAAAAATCTTGAAACAGCAATTAAGGTATTTTTCCAATAATATAATTGACTATTGAGCCTAGTCGTATTGCAATGATTATTACTGTCTGTCGAGGAGTCTAGCTTTTAAAGAGCATACAAATCTTTTGTCAAATACAGGCAGTAGAACATTATTTTGATTTCTTAAATATATTATATAATTATTTTTATTAAGCATATTGAAATGATTATTACAGTTTTGCAATCTAATTTTTTTATCTTCCGATACCTTAAACCCTTAAAACCTCGACCTGGTTCATAGTTGATGATGTAGCCAAATTTGCCGCGTATACCGTCAGCTGGCTGACCATGATTTCAAATTTTGAGGTCGCATAGAAAGTTTTATTTTCTCCAATAACCATGAATTCAGGCGATGTAAAAACAAATTCTCACGCACCTGCAAAAATTAACCGTGGTTAGCTGTAAAATACCGGTACGGAGGAGTTTTTAGCTGTACCGGTACCAGCTCTAGCAATTTTGTGATTTTCCTCGAATTTTGTGCCAAGCAATGATCAGCATCGTGCTGTGGCGTGGGCGAAAAGCGGCGCTCCAAGTGCCTCGTAAAGGTCACTCTTCACTACTGTTTCGATGCTTGAGCGTGGTGCCATTAAAGGGAAAAGACGGCAGCGAAGAGGATGCCAACTTTTCGATTACGAATCGCTGGGGAAAGCAGTTTCTGCCCGCCCTCCGTGCCTACAAGGAGCTTAAAGGGGACACGCTTGTGCCTATTGCTTTCGTCATTCCTACTGGCGATGACCACTGGCCAAGAGAGACGTGGGGCTACAGTCTCGGACGAGGCGTGACACACATCAGAAGCAGACTCACGTCGGATGAGAGTCACAAATTGCCACCATCGCTCGTTCGCGAGCTGGAGGAGCTCGACTTGGCCCAAAACGCCTCTCAATATCGATGGGACAATGCTATTCTGCCAGCTCTACGCTGTTTCTATGGGGTCTATGGACATTCGGATGTTCCCGGGCTTTTTGTGGTCCCACGCGGAGATAGCAAGTGGCCGAAAGCGTCTTGGGGCCTGGCACTGGGCGCCATCACCAATCACATTCGCTTGGGCAACACGTATGTGACACAAGTCGCCGCGTCGATGGAAGAGTTAAAGGGGATGGATTTATGTTTGGCGGCGATTGTCGACCGTAATTGGACGGAAAAAATCCTGCCATCCTTGGCGACATATCAGCAAGAATTTGGCCACTGCCTCGTGAAGATTTCATTTATTGTGCCGTCGCAGGCCCCATGGCCAGAGAAAGCGTGGGGAATGTTGCTTGGCAAAACCGTCAACCCGATTCGCTCGCGTCTTAGCTACAGTCGTCACGCGTTGAGAGATGCGGAGATTCTCAAGTCGCTGGACTTTGTTTGGGATGTTGACGAGTATGTGTGGACCGAACGCATTGTGCCTGCGCTGAAAGCTTACGTAGCCCAGAATGGACATTGCTTAGTCCCAGGAAGGTTCGTTGTGCCATCACACGATCCGTGGCCGAAGAAGGCGTGGGGAATGAAACTTGGACAAACTGTAAGCAATATTCGTTTGCGGTACAATTACAGGCGTCTAGTGCTCAGAGATAAGGAGATTCTCACGTCGCTGGAGTTTACCTGGAATGTTAAAGACTATGTGTGGACTGAACGCTTTGTACCTGCGCTGAAAGCTTACGTAGCCCAGAATGGACATTGCTTAGTCCCAGCAAGCTTTGTTGTACCATCACACGATCCGTGGCCGAAGAAGGCGTGGGGGGTGAAACTTGGAGAAATACTTAAGAGGATTCGTTCTGCAAGGTCCTACTTCTCGCACTTTGGTCGAAATGCCGAGGTTTTGGAATCGTTGGGCCTCAGCTTACAGCTTACCCCTAAAGGATATGAAAATCGTGTTTCTCCGCTGCTGGAAACATATGCGAGCATAAAGGGAAGCCGAGATATTCCAGACAACTTTGTCATTCCTCCGGAAGACCCGTGGCCTGAAACGGTGTGGGGGGTTCGTTTGGGTTTGATAGTGGCTCGCAACACTCACCACTTCTCCTAAAAAACTATTGCCTCTAAATATCGTAACGTTATTTTAATTTCAGAAAAACCCCGATAAAGCTTGACAAAAATAGTTTGGCATCAACCCAGCTGATAAAAAAAAATCACGTCTGCTCGAAATTTGCGTGGCATGCTCCACACAGGGTGGAATATAGAGACCAAGCTTCCAAAATTAATTTCACGACCGGCACAAAATTCTACATGATGCTAGTAGCTGCACTTCCTCTATTTTTTTTTTCAACAAGCAACGTCCACGGCCGGCCACTCAAACCACTTAGTTAGAACCTCCGAGAAAAACAAACGAACGCTTTGCAGTTTTGCTGGAGAAGGTGAAGTTAAAGTATTGCCAGCAACCGAAGCACTTTTGCCGCTGTCAAAATTAGTAGAATCTGGGCTATTTAGTATGGTAATCTTAAAAACATGCGCAGCAGACCATTTGCAATCATTATTGTGGGAAAATTATCCTGTGCGCGTGCTTTCTTTAACAGCTCGGCAAAACCACGAAACAGTACCGAACTGATTATCTTTATTTTGGAATGGTAGATGCCTCCGTACTAACAGTTTTGCCGATGTTGTCACAGTAGTACTGAAATGCTAGACTTTTTCCTCCGTGGAGTTACCGACAAACAAATGTACGATAGCTATTTAGTTTTGCAAAACATACCTGAACAATATCTTTAAATCCATTTCTTGCAGGACACGAGCAATCGCGATGTCCGTAATGCTACACCAATGGGTCTCAAATGCACGTGTCTTCATTCCAGACGTAAGTCGTGGCCGTCGACAATCCACATACTTGCCGGAATGAAGAAGAACCCTGATCGAAATAAAACGGAGGTAAGTATTGATAATAAATTGCGATATAGGCGCAACTTTCCATCTTCTTGAAGAGCAGTATTCTCCAACTTCTTTTTGCAAGGCGTCAAATTTATTAATAAGCCGATGCTTACCCAGTCCGACCATCGCCGTCGACAGGACACAATTTGTTTCGCTGCTCGTCCACAACACCGTTCACCGTAGTTCGCAATTAGTCACGCATTCGCACTTAAGATAAAAAAAATACATAAGAAACCTACCGGTTTTGAGTAGATCACTTTATTCCAGTTTGCTCAGGTTACTGTAAATATTTTGACCGGTAGTTTTTAAAAAGATGGGCAGCTGAAATCCCAATATTTTGGGCTTCGATTTGTACACTACAATTATTAAAGTAGGGGTATGACTACAGCTTCCTTCGCGATGCCTTCCTTACCCATGGGTGCCCCAAAGGCGACATCTGAAGAACGCCAGGTCTCTCACGTCCTTGTGGGTCACTTGGTACACCAACGAAGCCAAGTCTTCTGTGGCATTGCCAACTAAAAAATAAAAGTCCGTCACTGTTGCTTTTTATTATAATAATATAACATTTTATAGGTTAACCTACGGAAAATAGGAGACCCACAACGTCTCTAGTGTCTCCTCCATACATCGTAAAGTACTCATTCCTCACTTGTCTTTCTCTTAAAGTGCACTACTCCTTAAAGGGTGAAGTTTCCGTTGCACACACTCAGCAGCATGTTGGGCGAGAAAGCACCCAGTCCTTCGTCTTGCAGAACGTCCTCTGCCTCCACAAACAACATGGCCAAACCGAGCACAAAGTGCCAGTCAATGTGGCAGTGCATAAGCCACACACCTGGGTTGTCAGCGTTCAGGCGAAAGACGACATAACCGAGATCGGCGCAGGCGCCACCAGCGTCAGTCGAGCATTCAGGCACCGTGAAGACGTCGTGCTGCATGGGTCCGTTGAGCCGCAGAGCCGTCAAGTTACCCATCAAGATGTTGTCGCGGGAGGCGTGACCACTTCCAACGATCCACGGAGAGTGAGCGTGCAGGTGGAACGGGTGCTGGTCCGGTGTCTCGTTCACTACAACCACTTCAACATGGTCGTTGTGCTTGAGTTTGATAGCGTTGGCTGTGGTCGGTAGCTCTTCCGTCTTGGCTCCTTGGGCGATAGTGAAGAGTGGCGGACTGTCAGGGATCACCAATGAGCTGAAGTCGCCACCGTCCAGCGAGATGTAGCCCAGAAACGCTGTCGGGTTAGGAGGTCGAACGCCAAGTAGGAATTCCACGATAATACGTTGGTCAGGTGTCGTCGGGAGCTCGACCGGGACCGCCGGGTTGAAGTCAAACTCACCGATAGTCACCTCCGTCGTCCACTCTGACGACGTCGGGTCTGCTGTAGCCTTAGGCTCGTAGTCAATGATGGCAAGTGCGTCGGGGCTGAATCCGTCCGGTACTTGGTCGGCATCGCGAGCCGTCCAAGGGCTGCCGAACGGAGAGTGCACACGCAGCCAATACGAGTCAAGTGTCTGCTGTGACGACTTGGCCTGCACAAGAATGTCATAGCGTTGAGCCACGTTGATCGTCACTGAGTTGACAGGCGTTGAAGGTTTGAGGTAGTCAGCGTCACTTGCTACCACTCGGAACGTGTGGCCGTCAATACTGACTTTGAACGCCGCCATTGCCGACGTGTTGATCAGGCGGAGCAGATATTTCTTGCCCGGTACGAACCGAAACCGGGGCAGTGGACGACCGGGACCACACTCGAAACCAGCGGCCTCCGCGACGGTGCAATTGTAGCGTCCGACGCTGTTGATCAGCACAGTGTCCCAGATAGGAGCACCGACCGGCAAGTCGTGGTACCAGTCGGCCAGTAGAATCGTGTACTCTTCGTAAACGTCCTTCTCCCATCTCTGCTGTAGCTTAGGAGGACAGTGCACGATGAGTGGTCCACGGAGACCGTAGGCGTACTGCACCTCCTCATGACCATGAAACCAGAAGGTGCCGCACTTGTCGGGCTTGAACCGGTAGATAGCCGTCACGTTCGGCTGGATCTGGCACTGCGTGATGCCGGAGACGCCGTCCATCTCTTGCGTTCCGAACTGTCGCAGTCCGTGCCAGTGGATACACGTCTGCTCCTCTAGCTTGTTGGTCACGTGCACCTCGACCTCATCACCGAACGTGACTTCGATCGGGTGCAGGTCGGCTAGTTCATTGTTGATGCCGTAGCCAAATTTGCCTCGCACACCGTCGAAGATGGTGGTGTTGAGCGTCGTGATGTTCCAGTCGTAGCGAACGACATGAGCCGAAGCCTGAGAAGCGCTTAGAAGGAGGAGACTCAAATTGGAGAGAAAACGCATTTGAGCTTGGAGGCGAAGTTGAATTAGGAGACGGGTTGCTGAAAGTGAAGCTTGGTTTGGAGTGGAGAAAGCAAATTCCGAAATGAACAGAAGAAGCCTGTGTGGACCTGGACGGACAGCAACAAGGCTATCCGTATTGAATGCAGTAGCCACCTCAGAGAGACTAGCTTAGTTTTTCTTAAAAGAGAATGTTGATGTGAGGAGATCTTTAGCAGCTTAAAGATTGAAGAGACTTATCGTACCATCTACATTTAAACTTCGAGTTTCTGGCTATTGCCTTCTGGTAGTGACAAGTATGGACGTTTATGAGGATCGACCGGTTCAGTTCTCAATATTACTTACAAAACACAGTTGAAGTCTTGCTACTAGTGCAAGATGGACACTTTGTTAGTTGTGTTGGAAGCGGAACTACCGAATCTACAACTGTAGTAGCTGCCTTGTGTTTGTTCCCCAAATTTCGAAGCTAACCCTATTTGTACAGCAATTTTTTAAAGAACATGTCAGATTTTGAAAGAGCAAGATCACTATACGCACCTAATGCTCCTTCCTCCGTTCGTCTTTGCCGAGTACGTTAAGTTCGGGAACTGCTCCGTCCACTCTGGAAAGAAGGTGTCCCCATCAGTTATATACTGATGCACTCTCGAAACGTAGCAGGAGTCAGCGACTTCGGAATCCATCGCTTCCTTGTACAACCTCTCACCACCTCCGACGAACACCCGGTTACAATTTCGATATTGCGGATCTGTGTTTGCAAGTTGCAGCGCCTGCTCCAGCGTACGAGCAAATTGGACGCTTGGCCACCGAGCATTGGTAGCGTCAACTTGCAATTTCTGCAGTGTGGAAGACACGACAATCGTGTGGCGATTCGGAATTGGTTCGTCGAACTCTTCAAAGGACCGTCGGCCAACCACAAGCACCTGGTTTTGAGTGGCGGTACTGAAGAATGCCCAGTCGGCTGGAAGATTCCAAGGCAATCTGCCTTGCTTTCCGATCACGCGGTTGACGGAGCAAGCCGCAATGAGCGAAACAGGCAGCCGTCTGGGAGACATCCTAGCACAATAAAAAATAAAGGTATTGTTTTGCTTTGTGGACCACTTCAATTCGCTTTTGTAAAAAAAAAGGAAAAATTGTAACGAAAACATCAGAATATTCTACACGGATATGCTGCTATCTAGTACAAACTTAGTACTATTAATACTAAGCCAGTTTAGAATTGGGAAAAACTCCTTTTATTTTTGGCCGATGCTACAGTCCATGCGTCGACTCAGTTTATTTTCCATGTAATACTCCATGTAATGTCCATGTGTCGAAATAAATTACTTACCACTGTTTTTAAAATCCATAGTGAATGGAAGTTGTTAGACCTTCGCAAACGAAAGTCCTCTGACATCTCTCGTACATACCGGTATACAGAAGTCAGGAGGTCAACCATACGCATGAACATTAGGCGGGTCGATTCCAGTTTCAATAGAAATGAGATTGTATTAGTTGCATTATGGCTTGCTACCGTGAAGCACGAAGTGAAGGATGCGGAAGCGTAACAGCGTTAGACCAATCGGAGTTACGTCCAGCGACACACTCTTGTCTACATATCGCCAAAACCTCAACATTACGTAGAATCCGCAGTTGTATCCGTCTGTCTGGATCGGTCCATTGACGGACACAACTTTCAAGTCGTCGCTGAGCGTAGTAGCCAGATCCCACGACATGCGGTCCAGTACGTCCTTGTACGTCTTCAGGTTCATTGAGTCGTAGTACAGGACATTGTTCTGCTTGCCATCCACGATCATTGCACACCAATGCATGTTCCCAAAATTTACAGGAATGAGCAGTACATCCGCTTCAGTGAGTAGTTCCTGAACCTTTGTCTTCATTTTTTTACCATAGATTTCTTCTTCTTTGACGCCGAGGCTGCCTCGACACCGACGATGCGAACACCGGTGCCCGTCCTGTACAATCTCGCGCAAAAAGCCAAAATCAGCGCATCATTAGCCCATTGGGGCGGCTTGAGACGGTACAGCATCGCGTAGTGGTAATCGTTGCCGTCAATTGGGATGGTATCTTGGGGATAGGCGCGAGCAATGGCCTCTGCCATGCTCTGAAGTGTCGATTGTTGTGCTGCTGGTATGGCGCTGGCTGCATCCTGTGTTAACCATTTGGTAAACGCCATTCCATCATCACACGAACGCTTCACGTTTGCTAAGTATGCCATGGCCTCAATCTGTTCGCGTGAAAATGTTCCGATACCCGCGATGTAGACACACTCGATCTCCGGGTTTTGTCCGTTGCTGTCCATGATTTGTCCAGGTATTGTAGATGTTTCTTCGTCTTTTTGTGTAGTTTGACTCTGGGTGAGTACATCGATGGCTGTTTCATTGGTGTTGCTCACAGGCAGCACGGCAACGCACTTGTCCAACAGTTTGGGTGGAAGTAGGTAGAACGCGTTTTCATTCAGCACAGGCGCACTCTCTCTAGTGTACTTGGGTTTCTTGCTACCCGCGTTGTTGTACTTGGTTTGGAGTGGCAGAACACGACGTAGAGTGTCTTGAAGTGGAGGCTTCTCAAGTTGAAGACTGCGCGCAAGTTGTATTAATGTCACCTCTCCAAGACATCTTCTATGGGCTTCTGACTCGTTAAACAACGCTCGTTTCTTCTTGTCGTCTGCTTCTCTCTCCTTTCTGTTCAACCGGGGCCTACCAGACTTCGCAGCTTTGGGGTTCAGACGGATGCGCAATCCACTATCAGTATTTTTCTCTTCGTTGTCATCAGGAGTGGTCCCAAGCGCAAGCTGCTCCATTTCGGGCTTGGTTCCGGTTCGATTTCGGCTGGTTGTCACTGGAGAGGTCACTTCATCTGTTTATGTTTCTTCTCTCGTGACTGGAACCTTCGTTTTTTCAACCTTTACACGTTTGCGCTGCCTAATGTTCCTCCATTGTTGCACGACGAAGTCTAAATGCTCACGGTACTCGTCGTCATCAGAGATATCGGCTAGCTCACTGCATATAGCCTGGAACGCGCTGACTGCCTCCTTGTACTTAACATTAGCGTCAAGCACCTTGTGTTTCGCCTCCCCTGGTTTAAACTCATTAAGCACAAAAGGCCGCGGAGTCATCGGTTGTTCAGCAGGATGTAACCATCTAAATGAATGACATGTCAGACCCTCAGTACAACATCAATATTGGATATTACATGGACAACTCACGGCTTATACGTGGATGAATTGTGAGTCAACCCACCTTTCATCGATGCAACTCAGCGGTATTACGCTTCCTGGGGCGTTACTCCACTTCCGAAGCGCGATCGCGTGTTGACAAGGCAGACGCATTGCAGAAGCAAACGAGCAAGTGCAGCTCCACGTTTTCAAATCCACAGCATGCGTCTTGTGTTTACCCGTCACCTCCACGAAGCCTGGATTTGACTTTAAGTCGAAATTGAACTTGTCGACCTTCGAACATGCCATTACGTACTCCTTCTCCACGTGTGTTGCTACGAAATGCGTCGTAAAGCGCAAAACTTGGCACATCTCCTCGTCGTAGTTGCGGTTGACACGTAACCCGATCCTAGTCTTGTCGAACACGTATTCACTGGAAGTCCTGGCATCAGCACCCACAAGGGCCTTCACGGTGTCCGTCATGGTCATGTTGGAGTTTACCCCGTCCTTAAAATGCCCAAACCAATTCTCTAAATGGTTGTTCGTGTGGACGCGCAAATGTGCCAACCGTGAGCGTTCGTACATGACCCACATCTCCGTACAAGTGTTCCAGTTTTCATTTATGTAGTTGTAAAATGCCATATATCCAGTCCTAGTGCAAAGTGCCTTCATGGAGGTCCAATTGGTCTCGTAGATCTCTGAACTTAAGGCATATACCATGTTGTGGACTAATGCGTCGATGGCGTCGTGATCGTCCGACGAAAGTTTACCATATTCTGGCTTCCTGGACGCTGTGCGGAGATATTTGATGACGTGAAAGACGCAAATCAACACGCGCGACTTAGAGAAGTACCGACGCAACACGCGGATCTCATTCAGATCTTTGTCGACCATTATAACTTGAACCTTGTCGCCAATCTTATCGTCAATCCGAAATAGATGATCCAGCGCTCGGGACATCTGCCAATCGGCGTTTCGTTCGAGCAAAGACTGTTGTACAGGCTGCCCACGCCCATTGTCGTCTATCATCATGAAGGTACAAAGCTGGTAGTTGTATCTAGTGCACATTACATGGACAAGAATCGCACAATACATGGGCATGACATTAAAATAAGCATGGACAATACATGGACAAATAATTGCTCAATACATGGGAGGACTTACCGATTCGTTTTGTGGGTACAGTCCACAAGCAAAAGCTCTGGAAACCTAGTAACCATGTCGCGCATATGTCTGGAAGTCATACTGATCACACCAGAGTGTCCCGCATCAGTTTCGTCCACCGTGACTACGTTACCGTCAATAGCTGCGAATTCCGCGAGAGTTGCGGCGCAAGCGTCGTCGTCATTCAACCCTCCTCTTATCTCTGCTTTAACACGTTGCACAATGTTGTCCACATCCTTCTTGACGAGGTTCTCGCCTCTCCCCAGAAGATACTCATAGATGCGTGCGCGCTTTCTACCGTACATCACCATGCTGTCCACAGCATCCTTCGCGTCCGTGTCGTCCAACCTACGGTTCTCCGCGTACGTCTTGAACTGCGCTGTCCCCACCGCATGGTTGTGCTGGTACACACCGTTCTTCACGCGAAGGCAGCATAAGCCGTCAACTTGCACGAGCTGCACCACAAATCGAAATGGACAACCGCATCCTCGGACGAAGTGCTTGGTTCGCAATCCGCTGCTCCTGTCTTTTGCTGGCCAGCCATGTGTGCAGATGTATGTGCGTTGGTAAGCACCCCACGTCTCTGGTACGTACGGAACATCCATTCCCTGCTTTGCTGCCGCTGTTTGACCCAGCCGCTTGTTTCTCAATACGCAACTAAGCGTTGACTGGATGCGGATGACCTGGCGGGACTTTACCGAGTAAGCCTTCAAATACTCATTCCACGCCGACCAGCTCGGATACGTCACGTCTGCAAGGCCCTCCACAAGGGAGGGAGAGTCTACGACCTGGACAATACATGGACGCTTGAAATCGTCCGTGTCAGGCGAGGCGTCGTCCGAGTTTGCAGCAGCGCCGGAGGCTGCGGAAGCCGTGGTGTCGATATCTGAAGAGGAGTCGGACGATTTACCCTGTATTTACAAATAGATAACGCACGGTTAGAAACACGTTCACAGAGACCACAAACAGCAAGATAACGCACCTCAGACGTCGCGGAAGCGGGTAGACTGAGCGACATGGCCGGCGATTGCAGCAACGGTTGATCTCGTGACGTAGGCTGCGGCGTGCAGGTAACGGAGCGGCGGCGGCGGCAATGCTCGAAGGGGGGCGAGTTTGGGTTTGAAAAGCAAATGAAAGGCTGGTGTGATTGGTACAACTACCGGTATACAGTATTGTACCGGTATTAACTACATAGATCACATCGTGGACAATACACGGATGAGAGTTGGACAATAATTGCACTCAACGACTGGGTTGTTTTTATAAATTACCGAATGAAAATATTTTACATCATGGACATTACATGGAGTATTACATGGAAAATAAGCGGATTTGACGCATGGACTGTAGCATTTCCGAAAAATAAAATAAATTTGTGCACTGTTAACAGTACATACAGTGCACACCAAAACTAACGTTATATGCGCAATCGAAATTTTCGATTTCTCTCCAAGTATAGTGATTTTTGTATCAAACTAATGGTCAAAACGATATGCGCACTTTGTAGTTGCTCACTACACCTTTGCCAATCCAAACTGGTGGTAGTGTAAACCAAAACGGAGTGTCCCTTATTTAGAATTTTATTTTTAAAAAATTTAGAAATCCCCAAAATTAATCCAGACCAATGCGGATTTAGTGTAAAGCAAAATGATGAATATATCTTGTTCGATGGTCGCCTCGATAACAGTATCTTGTCCTCTACAGTACTTAAAGTACTGCCCATGCACCACGTACATTACATTAGTGCATTGGCTATAGCCACGAGCGCCCCGCACCGGACGCCGTTAGTGCTGACCGTCCAGGCAAGCAGCCCCAACACGAGCGCTTGATGGCACGTCAATCGCTGAGCGCCATTTTTGACAAGGAAACTCAGAGCTGCAACCCTTTCTCCTTCCATTCCCCACGGTCTGCAAGCGCAGCCCAAAGCTCTCATCCTTGATGTACTTTGTCTAATTGGGTTGCTGGCCGTCTTGGTCCCTCTATCGATGATTATGCAGGCTGTACAAGCTGAGAGGTCACTGTGTGCACCCACACTCTCGTGCTCTGGCGCCCATACGCAGCTTTCACGCCCCCTTACATCCTTGTGTGTACCCCAGTCCGCAGCGCGCCCGTAGTTCGTATTGCTGGATGTGTCACTCGCGTTCTTGCCAGTTTGCACTACACTAAATCTACATTGCTCGAAAAACTAATTTTGTCAAATTATTCCTCAAATTTAGATGTTACTTCGGCTACTTCACTCCGTTTTGGTTTACACTACCACGCGAGTTTGGATTGGCAAAGGTGTAGCAATGTGTTGTG